AAAATAAAATAAAATAAAATAAAATAAAATAAAATAAAATAAAATAACATAAAATAAAATAAAATAAAATAAAATAAAATAAATTTAAACAAAATTAAGTTCAATTCAATTAAATTCAATACAATTAAATAAAATGAAATAAAAAATACAAGAAACTAAAATGAATAAAAAATAAAAAAGAGCATAAATACAAAATAAAATAATATCTGCAGTTAAACAAAACAAAATAAAATTAAATTTAATTTAATACAATAAAATAAAATATCGTAAAACTCTATTAAATTAAATTTAAAAAAAATAAAACCAAATAAAAAATACAACATAAAAGAATTTTATTTATAACAAAATAAAATCTAAGAAAATAAAATAGTAAAATGAACAAATTTAAACTAAAAAATTATAATAAAATAAATCTAAATTAAATTTAATTAAAATGAAATTAAATTAAATAGAAACATCTAATCGAATACAATGAAGAGAATAAATATATAAAAAAATTAAATTTAATTCAATTAAAAAATACAAAATAAACGAAAACAAAATAAAATTTAATGAAATAAATATAAAAAAAATTTTATGAAAAATTGATCAAAGTGAATTTCATCACAAATTAAATGAAATATTACATATTTTTAATTTTAATTTGGAGAAGACTTAAAGACATAATTTGAAACACATGAGAAACATGTAAATGAAAACTAACCAAAATTTTTTTCGAGAATTTTTTCACAAATTTCTTCCACAACAAATTACAAGCAAATTGCAAATACACAAACACTATTTACTTGTATATGCGTACACTTGCCAATGCATTAATTTTCATAAAAGAAAATAAATTAACAAAAAAATATTTATTATTGATTTAGATTTTTTAAGGACAACTACACAAAACAAATGGAAACTACAAAGCATATCGAATCGTAAAAAATAATTTAAAATATGAAATTTTTAATAAAGGAAAAAAATTTAAATTAAAAACGATAAATTTAAATAAAAAAGGCAAATTAAAAAAAGCACGGAGATTTTTTCAGCAGCAAGACATTAACACGAATTGTTACATTAATTTACAAAAATGCAACTTTTTTAAAAGTATTAAGTTTTGTTTACTTTAAAAGTGTGTAAAAAGTATTTCAATTTAAAATTTTAGTTTAAAATATCTTTTATGTTTAAAAATTTTGCATATTTAATAAATAAAATAAAATTTAATTAAAAAATTATATTAAAATAAATATTCAAAGTCAAACGTCAAAACCTTAAGAAACAATAATAATTTAAAAAGCAAATTGATGTGTAAATACATATTTAAGCATACTATAAAAAAATATAACTTTTGGTTGAAAGTAACATACAAGCATTTAAAAAATTTAAAACGAAAAATATTAACGAAAATTGTAAAAAGAATCCATAATAATTCAAGAAAAAATAAAACAATAATGAAAGTAGTTTAAAAAATCAAATTTAAAAAACATTCATTAATTTATAAAAGTAACAAATTTTTTAAATTTAATAAAAGCTATAAACTAAATAGAACCGTTAAGTTTTCCCATTTATTTTATATACCGGTTACTTATAACTTTAACATACATACCAACGCAATAGTGAAATAATATGAAAAGCTGGCAACGCACAGCTTAAATTATTGAATAATTTAAATTAATATTAGTAATTGTAGTTTAAATTTAAATTTTACATTTAATTGTTTACTTCTAATGCAGATTATATAAATAAAAAACGGAATAGTACACACATGAAAATTATTTTATTTTAAATTTATCTTCTTAGGTTCTGTAGCTGCTACTTTTAAGTAATCAATTATAATATAATAAAAATAAAATAAAAAAATACACATAAATAGAGTATTAAGTGATATTGCACTTTTAGTGATTAATAGTAATTATTGTATTGTAATTTGTAGTGTTTTAGTGCATACTTAGTTTGTAAGCGAAAAAAAAGAAAAGAAAAACAAAAAAACAAAACCGTTTTTAAATCTTCCTCCTACATTTTAAATTATTATTATATTATTATTATGATTATTATTATTACATACATACATATAAATAAAATGCAAAATATTATATAAACCAAAATCAAAATTTGAATTTTTTATTTTCTTCCCGGCACCCTATTCCGCTTTTTGAAACCCCATGAACGCGCAGTAAGCAGTTCGGTGCTGTGCTGAGCGATTTCTGTTGCTGTTTTCGGTTCGTCCACGCTCCTCTTGTTGACGGAATTGGCATAAGTGTTAAAAAAAAATTATTATTGTTGCTTAAAAAAAGAGATCTTGAAGCGTCGAATTTTTTAAGATTTTTTTTATATTTTATTTTTGGATGATTCTTTCAATTCTCTCATGCAATTAACCCCTGCCGCTAATTAATTAGTTTGCGCATGCTTCCAAGTTCCCTTTATTGGCATAAATGATATTATAAATATATACACTCCGCGTCATAATTATAAGCGCACCACAGATTGATAAGTTTTAAGAATTTATTTATTTTTTTTTTTAATTTTAATTTTTTTTTTTAAATTATGAACTTTTCTTTAACAAAAAACCTATAAGTTCAAGCTTAAAACTTCGTAAAAAAAAAATTATCATCCTTAGAGCCTTTTCACATTACTCAGTATGACATCGGATTTTTTTTTTGTTAATATGTTCAGCTTACCAAAACGATTCCATGTTGCGCTGAGTTGCACACTTGTCGCAATACTTTCGGTATGTAGTTTGTACAGAAAATCAAAACAAAAGCCGCAGTTCATGAAATTGAATTTTAAAACTTCTCAAATCGTTTATCGGAAAAAAAATTTTAATCAATATAGGATTATGAACTTATTCTAAATTGACTAAAGTAATTGAATTTTATGAAAAAGAATTAAATTTTGTATACATTTTTTTTAGAGGCAAATTTCATTAGGGACCGGGCAGTTTTTTGATGAGCGGACGTTAGAAATCTATTGAGCGAACACTCCTTTTTATACCTTTCATGAGCATGAAATGGTATTATAACTTTGGTCCGATGTTTGTAAGTACCAGAACAAAAAGAGATAGACCCATTAAAATGTATACTTATTTGATCAGAACGTCGAGCTGAGTTGATTTATCCATGTCCGTCTGTCCGTCTGTCCGTCTGTCCGTCTGTCCGTCTGTCTGTCTGTTTGTATGCAATCTAGTCTCTCAGTTTTCGAGATATCCGGATCAAATTTGGTAAGTGGGTGTATTTTTATAATGTATTAATCATTTGTCGGAACCGGAAGAATCGGACCACTATAACATATAGCTCCCATACAACTGATTGTTCAGATATGAGATTTTTCGTTATAACTTCTCCATTTATGCAGCTAGGAACATGAAATTTTGCAGTACTTGCACATATTATCAACAGAATACTTACAGTGGAAATTACAAAGATCGGGTCACTATAACCTATAGCTCCCATACAACTGATTGTTCAGATATGAGATTTTTCGTTATAACTTCTACATTTATGCAGCTACGAACATGCAATTTTGCAGCACTTGCACCCATTATTAACAGAATGCTTACAGTGAAAATTACAAAGATCGGTTCACTATAACCTATAGCTCCCATACAACTGATTGTTCAGATATAAAATTTTTCGTTATAACTCCTCCATTTATATAGCTAGGAACAGGAAATTCCGCACTGTTTTCAATAATTATCAACAGAAAACTTACAGTGAAAATTAAAAAGATCGGATAACTATAACCTATAGCTCCCATACAACTGATTGTTCAGATATGAGATTTTTCGTTATAATTCATGCATTTATGCAGCTAGGAACATGAAATTTCGCACCATTTTCACTCATTATTAACAGAATACTTACAGTGAAAATAACAAGGATCGGGTGACTACAACATATATCTTCCATACATCTGATTGTTCAGGTATGGGTTTTTACTGTAAAACTCCTTTATTTGAACAGCTAAAACCGATAAATTTCGTAAGATATTTTATAATTAATAATACAAAGTCTACTGAGAAAATCGTCAAAATCTATGCTGTATAAGCTTTATCTCCTATAGCACTGATAGTTCAGATACCAGTTTTTGCGATATATCTCCTTTATGTAGGAAACTAAACCCAATAAATTGTGTCGGTTTACATACCGATCACATAGCAGTGAAAATCACTTAGATTGGTGCTAATATAAGGTATATCTTCCATACCTCTGTTTGTTCAGATGCGATTTTTTATATAGGTATGTAACTCCTCTATCGATGTATGCAGATGTACTCAAAAGCAGTAATCTGTCAAAGTAAAATTTGCAGATGTTCATGAAAGGTATGAAGCCTTCGGCATAGCCGAAGACAGCGCTGCTCTTACTTGTTTCTATAACAAATAGTAATAGAAATATATAATAGAATAGAAATCAAAAGTAACGGTTTTATTTAAAAAGTCTTTCAAAGCGGTACATTTCAAAGGAAACAATGAGGGGCAAGTGTCGCAATCAATAGTTGCGATCCCGTACGAGTCCGGACTAGTCAGAATCAGTCAGATTTTACTGGAAATCGATCCCGTACTCGGTTCTCTGAC